TCCAGTGCAAGTGCCTCAAGTTCCTTTCCTTTTCTGCATCTTAATATATGCATCACTGTCCTGACATTCAAGGTCTGGGTTTTGTGTGGATGCAAACTGAAGAAGTCCGGTGGAAGAGAGTTCCATTTTTGGTTACTTTGTAGCAGCATCCCTGCTATAAAATCAACACTTATTAAGGTTATACTAATAATTTGTATCCTAGTTGAGAATTCACAATCTTCGAATATAATTATGCTTTCAATTTCTGATTTGTCACAGTCTGTGAGACCTTTTAATTTAGAAATGCTGTACCACAGGTAAAAGGGTTTTACTGTAGCCTGTACTTTTTTCTAGTAATAAAATTTAAATGCATGTATTTGGACATACATTCATTTTATATATTTTGTAGTTACTGACTGTACTGACTTCATCTTACAAAACTATGTTCTAGATATTTTAGAATTCCAGATTCTTGTACAAGTGATTAGTGATTTTTATATCTCACATTTTGTGTGTTATCTGAGACACTCTTTTCAGAAGAGGTTTCTGCAGCCTAGGTATTGTTAAAATACCAAGTTGAACTTACGAAATTGCAGTCACTTAAGAATTGTGCCTTCTCTGTCCCTAGTATTAATAGCTGTGCTTACAGGATTTACCTGTAAGTTTAGAGGAAGACCAGCTTGAGCTCTGAGTTCTGTTTGTGGGTTTAAAATGAGGAAGACAATCCTCATGCATAGGTAAAGTGTTGTACCTTTTCTGATTGCTACTTCTGCTTTCATAATTTCGAAATTATTAAAGAATCTTACTTTCTGTTTTCAGATCCCTCAGGGAAGGACTTACTGAAGGACACTGTTTAAATGTGTGACATTACTGCAGGAAGATCACAGCAGGATAATAATCTGGCTTTGCACCTCGTTTTCCTAAGGCTAAGTTTGGGCTTTAGGTCTTCATAAGCTTGTGTTTAAGGTGGGAGGAGGGTGAATAAGTACAAGATGATACACCTTATTTTCTTTATAACTACATTTGGAAATCTAAAAGCCTGTAGAGACAAGGTCCTATGGTGTGACTGTAGAAGGTCAGAGATTCTTCCTGCAGTGATGTCATACACTTTGTGTCTTCTGTAGTTCTTCAGAATTTTTCTGTTTAAACAGAAATGCTCTGTTATTTTCAATTTGAAAACTGAAATTAGTTGGGCAAATCAAACAACCCCTCCTTTGAATCTGTAACAAAGACGAAGGTGGGGGGGCGATGAATTGAGCTGTTTTCAATTTGTTATAACAGAATTAGGCAGATTGAAGTAAGATAATTGAACTAACTTACTGTGAATTTCCAGTGTGTGCATTTTAAAACTACAAAACTATAAAGTACCTTTAAATTAGTGGTATACTGAAAAGAAAAATCTTCCATTTGGGGAGCAATTTAATAATGATTACAGATTAAATGTGAAGCCATTATGATGTCGGGTTTTTACCAGGTTTATTACTAAATTAACATAGATTTCATTCTGTGACTTTGCTTTCTATGATCAGTGCAAAGTAGAAACTGTATAAAAAATGAAAAGAAAACCACGCTGGTTTTAAATATCTTTAGTGATTCAACTCCCACTATGGTGAAAATCTTCCATGTCAGAAATGTTGTGACAGACCGTGTTTGTTTTCACTTTGTCAGTGCCCCATTTCACCTTACTCTTTGTACTTGCTCACTTAAAAATGTATTGATTTGACAAAACATTTATTGCTGGAGGAGGAAGAACCTGTGCTATGTGAGGATGTAGAGTATCTGAAAGTATTGATTGTTTCTTATAAAGTAGTTGCAAATTGACAGCATCTTCCTGATTAAATGAAATAATCACGTGGATGAAGATTTTTGTGTTCTAGTTTAGTCCATGTCAAAACTGTATTGTGCTGTGGTAAACAGAAAACATTTTATAGTGGCAGTGCTGACTGAACTCCTCATTCCAATAGTTTGAATGATGCTACTATGATAAGCTTTGCTTTAGAAAGAAAACACACTGGGTTTATTTGTAGTAATATAAACACTGCTTGTGAAGGCTTTACTTTTGCTAAATATTTTTATTCCCAGAGCCATTTTCTGTTAGCTCTAAATTCTGTGTTTTAAGAATATAAAAAACACTGTGGAAACGGTAAAAAGCAAAATTTAAAATACAGGTTCTTTTTCTGAATGTGTCTTTGAGTAAACTGATTTAAACAAAAAAAGAAAAATAATTCCTAAAATGCAGCATAAAAGTTTCAGTTCTTGCAATATAAAAACTCTCAAGTATAAAAATTACACTGAGTTTACTTTGTTCTTCATTTTGTAATGAAATTGATACTTTGTTATAGAAAAAGATACTTCCCTTGACTATGATTTCTGTAACTGAAAGCTGGTTTTATATATGCAATTTTTATTTTATATTTTGTCAATGAATTTAATTACAAATATTGTTACATAAATACTGTGTTTCTGATCAGAAAGTCAGTTTTCTATTTCTAGGTATTAATAAGTTGGAAAGCTCTGTTGGCCAGGTATTGCTTCTATACAAGACATTAAAGGTTTCAATATTTTTGTCTCCTATTGCAACTTTTAGTGATACAAGTACGTCTTCTACTGCTGCATGTCTTCAAACTCAGATATGTTTTACCAGTCGTGAAGTAGCTTTACAAGTATTAAAGCAGACTTTGAGAGCTTTTTGGGTGACAGATCCTACACTTTTTTTCTTTTTTTAAACTAAAGAAAGGTACTATGGTACCATTCTCAACAAATTGTTGCTAAGAGTGAGAAAATATGTAACAAGTAAAGCTGAAATATTGAGACTGAAATTTCAGTATTGATGCTTGTTATACTTTTTCCTTGTATAAGGGCTATTTACAGGTTTGTTTACATACGTTTATGTTGTTATTTTGTACTCCACAAATGTAAACCCAAATATGTTAAGTACAGTAGTCTGTACCTTTCATTTATAGTGCCATGTGATAGCTTTCTTTTTACCAAGAAAATGAGAAAAGTATTTTTATCAAAATATTTTCACAAAATTACAGAATGGTGTAGGAGGTACCTCTGAACGACCTCTAGAGGGTCATCTTGTCCAGCCTCCCTGCTCAAGCAGGGTCACCTACAGCAGGTTGTCCAGGCGACTTTAGAGTATCTCCAGTGAGGGAGCCTTCACAAGCTCTTGGGCAACCTGTGCCAGTGCTCAGTGGCACCCTCAAAATAAAAAAGTGTTTTCTGCTGTTGATATGGCACCTCCTGTGTTTCAGTCTGTGCCTGTTGCCTCTTGTCCTGTTGCTGAATGCCACTGGAAAGAGTCTGGCTCTGCCTTCTTTCCACCTTTCCTCTAAATATTTGAACACTTTGATGAGATCCCCCCCTGAGCCTTCTCTGCTCCACACTAAACAGTCCCAGCTCTCCCAGTCTGTCCTTATATGAGAGGTGCTTTAGTCCCTTAATCAGCTTAGTGGCCCTTTGCTGGACTCTCTCCAGTAGCTCCGTATCTCTCTTGTACTGTAGAACTGGACACAGTGCATCAGGTATGGCTCACCAGTGCTGCATAGAGGGAAAGGATCACCTACTTCGACCTGCTGGCACGTGCACGTTGCTGGCTCATGTTCAGCTTGCTGTCCATTGGGATCCCCAGGTCCTTTTCTGCAAAGCTGCTTTCCAGCCAGTTGGCTCCCAGCATATACTGGTACACGGGGTTACTCCTCCCTGGATGCAGGACTTTGCAGTGCACGAGGTTCCTGTCAACACACGTCTTCAGCTTGTCAAGGTCTCCCTGAATGGCAGCACAACCCTCGGTGTATCAGCCACTCCTCCCAGTTTTGTCATCAGCAAACTTGCTGAGGGTACATTCTGCCCCATCATCCAAGTCATTCATGAAGATGTTGAACAGTATTGGCCCCAGTATTGGACCCTGGAATACACTGCTAGTTACTGGCCCCCAGCTAGATTGCATGCTGCTGGTCACAACCTGCTGGGCCCAGTCATTCAGCCATTCAATTTTTTATGTTTTCCTCATAATGTAATTGTTTCTAAAACAGTAAATACCTTCCCATTTGCAGTATGTATGTAAGCAAAGTCTTCTGATTAATAACTGAGAGTTAGTGGCAATCATTATACTTGATGACAGTTTCAATAAGGCCACTGGAACCTTGTAATAATTCTGTGGAAGTTCGAGTGTAGATATAGTAGTTTTTATTTACAGTTATTAAAAGCTTTTGTTTTTTCCTAGAGGCAGAAGGAATGATACTTCATTGCAATCTTAAAATCTCAGACACAAGCAGTTTACTTTTAGTATACAAATAAAGGAGTTTACTGCTGCAAATAGGTAGCGGCTGAGCCACATTGCCAACTTCCTGGTTTTACAGCTTCTTATTTTGAAAGTTTCTTTACTGAAAACGAAAGCCAAACCTACAAATGCACACAAAAGTCGTGTTATTCATGTAGGTAATCATGCTGTCTAGTGGAATTATGAGCGTGAATAGAAGTATGTGTATGTGAATATTGGGTTGCATTTAGAGTCTTTGTGTTGTATTTATTGTAGTGGAAAATGCTTTCTAGTGCCTAGTGCCCATAAGCTGTGAAGGAAAAGAATAATTTGGGATTTTGGGTGTGGGTTTTTTTTTTTCCAAGTAGTATACTGATCACCTATCAATAGGTGATGAGGTACTATTAAACTGTGCCTAATACGTGTTTATTTTTAAATTTATAATACAAATAGTATTAACGTGAATGAATTATGAGTTTAAGATCTTATTGAAAGGAGTGGTAAAATTTTCATATACATAGAAAACAATTTTAGGGGGAGCAAGCAAAAGTGCTTTTTAAAATCTCTTCTCTCATGAATATTAGAAAGAAATATCTGCAGTCTTTAATTTTTTTTTTCCTTCTTTGTTTTCTTCAGGAAGATGATGCTCCTCATTCTAATTATCTGAGGTTCTCTCAATGACAAGCTAAAGCAAGAACAACTGAAAGCTATTTCTGGAACCCTGGATATACAACTTAAATTTGTAGGAACCTTTCCAGAATGAAAACCACATACAGTTACCTTGATAATTGCAAAAGGATGAGAGGAAAGTTATGATGGCAAAAAACAAAGAGCCACGTCCCCCATCTTATGCTGTTAGTGTTGTTGGACTGTCTGGAACTGAAAAGGATAAAGGTAACTGTGGAGTTGGAAAGTCGTGTTTGTGCAATAGATTTGTTCGTTCAAAAGCAGATGAATATTATCCTGAGCATACCTCTGTGCTTAGCACAATTGACTTTGGAGGAAGAGTTGTTAACAATGATCACTTTTTGTACTGGGGTGACGTAACACAAAGTGGTGAGGATGGAATTGAGTGCAGAATTCACGTAATTGAACAGACTGAGTTCATTGATGATCAGACTTTCTTGCCTCATCGGAGTACGAATTTACAACCATATATAAAACGTGCAGCTGCCTCCAAACTGCAGTCAGCAGAAAAACTAATGTACATTTGCACAGATCAGCTAGGCTTGGAGCAAGACTTTGAGCAAAAACAAATGCCTGAAGGGAAATTAAGCATAGATGGGTTTTTATTGTGCATTGATGTAAGCCAAGGATGCAATAGGAAGTTTGATGATCAACTTAAATTTGTGAATAATCTCTATATCCAGCTCTCAAAATCTAAAAAACCCATAATAATAGCAGCAACGAAATGTGATGAATGTGTGGATCATTATCTGCGAGAGGTTCAGGCCTTTGCTTCAAATAAGAAGAACCTTGTGGTAGTGGAAACATCAGCAAGATTCAACGTCAATGTTGAAACATGTTTTACTGCACTGGTACAAATGATGGATAAAACTCGTGGTAAACCTAAAATAATCCCCTATCTGGATGCCTATAAAACTCAAAGACAGTTAGTTGTTACAGCAACAGATAAGTTTGAAAAACTTGTCCAAACTGTGAGAGACTATCATGCAACTTGGAAAACAGTTAGTAATAAACTGAAAAACCACCCTGATTATGAAGAGTACATAAACTTGGAAGGAACAAAAAAGGCCAAAAATACGTTTTCAAAACACATAGAGCAGCTTAAACAGGAACATATTAGAAAAAGAAAAGAAGAATACATTAATGCATTGCCAAGAGCCCTTAATAGTCTTCTGTCAAATCTTGATGAGATTGAACACTTGAGCTGGTCAGAAGCCTTGAAGTTAATGGAGAAAAGGCCTGACTTCCAGTCCTGTTTTGTAGTGCTTGAAAAAACACCCTGGGATGAAACTGACCATATAGATAAAGTGAACGACAGAAGGATTCCATTTGACCTTCTCACTACGCTAGAGGCAGAAAAAGTTTATCAAAACCACGTGCAGCATCTTATGTCTGAAAAAAGGAGGGTTGAAATGAAGGAGAAATTCAAAAAAACTCTTGAGAAAATCCAGTTAATTTCACCTGGACAGCCATGGGAAGAAGTTATATGTTTTGTAGTGGAGGATGAAGCGTTCAAATACATCACTGATGCAGACAGTAAGGAAGTGTATGGTAGGCATCAGAGGGAGATTGTTGAAAAAGCCAAAGAGGAGTTTCAGGAAATGCTTTTTGAACATTCAGAGCTGTTTTATGACCTGGATCTTAATGCAACACCAAGTTCAGATAAAATGAGTGAAATTCATGCAGTTCTGAGTGAAGAACCTAGATACAAAGCTTTACAGAAACTTGCACCTGACAGAGAATCTCTTCTGCTTAAACACATAGGATTTGTTTATCACCCAACTAAAGAAACTTGTCTCAGTGGCCAAAATTGCACAGACATTAAAGTAGAGCAGTTACTTGCCAACAGTCTTCTGCAACTAGACCATGGCCGCTCAAATTTATACCATGATAGTGCCAACATTGATAAAGTCAATCTTTTCATTTTGGGCAAAGATGGCCTTGCACAAGAATTGGCAAATGAAATTCGGACACAATCCACTGATGATGAATATGCATTAGATGGAAAAATATATGAACTAGATCTTAGGCCAGTTGATGCAAAATCCCCGTACCTGTTGACTCAATTGTGGACCTCAGCCTTCAAACCACACGGTTGTTTCTGTGTCTTTAACTCTATTGAATCACTGAATTTTATTGGGGAGTGCATTGCAAAAATAAGGGCTGAAGCATCTCAGATAAGGAGAGACAAGTATATGGCTAACCTTCCATTTACGTTAATACTGGCGAACCAGAGGGACAGTGTTAGCAAGAATCTACCTATTCTGAGACATCAGGGACAGCAATTGGCCAACAAGTTACAGTGTCCTTTTGTAGATGTGCCTGCTGGTACATATCCACGCAAATTTAATGAGACCCAGATAAAACAAGCTCTGAGGGGAGTACTGGAAGCAGTTAAACACAATTTTGATGTTGTAAGTCCAGTTCCCACCATTAAAGATCTGCCAGAAGCTGACTTGAGAATCGTCATGTGTGCCATGTGTGGTGATCCGTTTAGTGTGGATCTTATTCTTTCACCCTTCCTTGACTCTCACTCCTGTAGTGCTGCTCAGGCTGGCCAGAATAATTCCCTGATGCTTGATAAAATAATAGGTGAAAAGAGGCGTCGGATACAGATAACTATATTATCATATCATTCTTCAATTGGTGTAAGGAAAGACGAACTTGTTCACGGATATATACTGGTCTATTCTGCGAAGCGGAAGGCATCCATGGGAATGCTTCGGGCATTTCTTTCAGAAGTTCAGGATACAATTCCTGTCCAGTTAGTGGCTGTTACTGATAGCCAGGCAGACTTCTTTGAGAATGAAGCAATCAAGGAACTCATGACAGAAGGAGAACACATAGCAACAGAGATTACTGCTAAGTTTACAGCTTTATATTCATTATCTCAATATCATCGTCAAACTGAGGTTTTCACATTGTTCTTTAGTGATGTATTAGAGAAGAAAAACATGATTGAAAGTTCTTATATGTCAGACAGCACAAGGGAAACAACGCATACAAGTGAAGATGTTTTTCCACGATCTCCTAGAGGAAGTTCCTTTGACTATAATTACCCAGATTCAGAGGATGATACTGAAGGACCACCACCTTACAGTCCAATTGGTGATGATGTAAGGTTGCTCCCAGCACCTAGTGACCGTTCAAAGTACCGATTGGATTTGGAAGGAAATGAGTATCCTATTCACAGTACACCACTCAATTGTCACGACCATGAACGCAACCATAAAGTGCCTCCTCCAATAAAACCGAAACCACTTGTTCCAAGAACAAATGTGAAAAAACTGGATCCTAACCTCCTGAAAACAATTGAGGCAGGTATTGGCAAAAACCCGAGGAAACAACCTTCTCGAGTGCCTGCGGCACCACCGGAAGATATAAACCAATCTGACAACTATGCTGAACCTATTGACACTATTTTCAAACCTAAAGGCTTTGCAGATGATATCTACGCTGTTCCAGATGATAGTCAGAATCGTATTATTAAAGTTCGAAATTCAATTGTTATAAATACCCAAGGTGAGGAAGAAAATGGGTTTTCTGATAGAATATCCAAAAGTCATGGGGAAAGAAGGCCTTCAAAATACAAATATAAGTCTAAGACTCTGTTCAGCAAAGCTAAGTCTTACTATAGGAGAACACATTCGGATGCAAGTGACGATGAGGCTTTCACCACCTCTAAACCTAAAAGAAAAGGAAGACATCGTGGAAGTGAAGAAGACCCACTTCTTTCACCTGTTGAAACATGGAAGGGTGGCATAGATAACCCAGCTATTACATCGGATCAAGAACTGGATGATAAAAAAGGGAAAAAGAAAACCCACAAAGCAAAAGAAGACAAGAAGGTAAGTCAATTGATGTAAATTTTATTTACAACTTCTGGTTCGCTGTAAGAAGGGAAGAGTCAAAATATGCAAGAGTTGCACCCTATTTTGAAACAGGTGCTTTAAGATTTTGATGTAGCATTGTTTGATTTTTGTCCAAGTTTCTACTTAACTTGCTCGAAACTAGTAATCCTGAGGGGATGAGATGGTTTGTCTACCTAATCAGCTGTTCAATAAGTTTCAGTTCTTTTCACCTCTGTATGCACATGTGCAGTCTCCCATATAAGTAAGTGAAGGCAGAATTTGGTCCACAGACCCTTCTTTGTTAATCATAACATCTTTTTTTTTTTTAAAAAAAAAAAAGGGGGGGGGGGGGCAAAAAAAAAAAAAGCAAGCTGCTTTATGAGTTCTTGGGTAGAACTGGTTCTTTCAGTTCTTGCAGTTCTGGCTGTTGGAATGAAGTTTAGGGCTGGTGAATGAAAGGGGTGGTTTCTTTTTAATTCTCAGTTGTCTACCTGGAACTCTAAAACTAGAGCCTGAAAAGGAAACTTTGTATAGTGGTTTTACTGACTGCTGCATTTTCCTAGTGTAGGCAAGCAGATAATCAAGTTGCAAGCTCTGCTACCTGTACAATTCTCTATTCAAACAAAAAAAAGGGAACAAAATGCCTGCCCAGTGTGGGTTTCTAAATAATAACGTGACATTCTGCTTGAAAAATGTCTACATTTTATTTTGATCCTTATGCTTTGTAGTTACTTATTTTTTGACTTACTGTTTTAAAAATTATTATATCAAGGTAGTGTTGTGGTATAGGTACTGGATGTATGCTTTTTATACTTTAGATTTTAATTTTAGGCTAGCAATCATTGTCTTGCATATAGTTTTTGTTTAACATTAAACCAGAAGCGTTCCTGGTCAGTTGGGTGTTTTCTTTCTTGTCTCAAAATATGTCAGCCTTTTTAATATTGTCTTTTGTAGCATTTTAAAAACATCCCTTTTAGCTTAAATCTGATAGTACTTGAATAGCATTTAGAAATAAGTTTTGTTCAAGTAGACCATACTAAATTTTACTAATGGATTAAATTCTGAATTGCACTTCCTAGTATGCAGCTGTGATTTGAATTACACATGACTGATTTAAAGGGCACAATTTTCTTAAGGCTTACTCATAACCATAGATAATGATGTCTTGTGGGTATAAAATCATACGGTTAAAAATACTTTGAAGTTATTCTTTTTGGGAAGCTCAAATGTTTTTAAAAATAATTTATATACTTTTGACTGAAATAATCTTGGTACCTAGAAATTGAAATACACTATTCATAATCCTCCTACTGTCTCAGCTGTGTTGAGTTGACAGAAAGTTCCTCTGGGTTGGATATTTATGTTTAAACTGTATAGACCTAGTATAGTGGGATCTTCTCTTTCTGGCATTGTGTCAGGAAACCCCCTCATATCTTTACCAAAACCTCTACTTCTGGCTTTGGCCTGTTGAGAGGGAGCCTGGGTCAGAAGTTTCAGGCTGTTCAAAATTTCTGTAGTGGTTAAGACTCTTGAAGACTACAAGAGCTGTTTCAAGTTTTCTTTAATGTACCTCTTGGTTTTGTTGTTTTGGGTTTTTTTTGGGGGGGGGGGGGGGGGGGGGTGTTTTTTTTTTTTTTTTTTTAGTTTCAAATTGCGGCCCAGGGCTGATACTTTCAAATTAGTCAGAGAAGACTTTTAATAGTAGAAGTACAAACTATTGTAATGATGGAGAAAGCAAATTTAACTTGATAGCTAAAATGTTCGCAAGCATTCAAAATATCTAAGAATGTTGAGTGCTTAGTGCTTTTGATAAGTAGTGACTTCTATGTGTGTTGACTTGCATTATATTGAAGTGAGAGTAGTTCCAGTTCATGTGATGAGTCATTCTAGTTTGTAATATGCTCATGGGGTTTTTTTACCTGTTGATTTTTTTGCAAGAGAGATGCAGTTTTATTAGTTTTGGAACTTATTCACCATGTTTTCCTGAGTTGTTTTAGATGAGCAGCTAGCAGTCTTTAATTAAAAAAACCTCAGAAATTATTCAAATGATATTTTCCTTGTTGAGCGTTATTTAGTCTATGTGAGGGATGTTAGTGCACCACTATTTACAGTTGACTTGCTGGGGTTTTTTGAGAATTTTGGCCCCTTGAATATGAAAGGGAGAAAGAAAACTTTTGTATTCCTTTCTGAATATCTTAAAGCTCTTACTGATATGTTTTCTAAATTGTTCAGCTGTATGTAAAGGGAACATAAGATACATATGTAACTATTCTTGCTGTAATTGTAGTGACTCTGAAATACAGAAATCTTATGAACAAAATGAATTTGTTTGGAAAAACTCAACTTTGGAAGTCTGAGGTCCTCATTGCCTCTGTCAAAGATTACAACTTGTTCTTTTTTTTTTTTTAAAGTTAATTTTTTTTTTTTTAAATCAGCTTTGTAGTATGCTGTTACTTTTTAAAGCCCAAATAGGATGTAACATTCTTGATACTCCTTTCATCTTTGTTGGTTTGAGGAGTTTGACATGTGGGTTTCTTGTATGGTATTGCAAAAAGCTCCTATGCACAGTCATTTGTGGTTTTTGCACTTCAGTTTTCAGTATGCAAAGCCGGTTTCATCTAGAGACAGAATTTGCCTATGCAGATTTTTACATTTAGAATTTTTTTAAAAATTATGTTGGGGGGCATTGGTTTGTTTTGGGTTTATTTGGTTTGGTTTTCCACACACTCCTCACACACCCCCCTTTACGACAATTACTTTAAAGTTAAACACAGTGAAGGTTTCTTAAAGTGGTATTTACTTTCCTCTTGGAGGTTCTGGAAAATGTTTTAAAGGCAGGCCCAGAATAAGAAAACACTTAAAGATAATGTGTTTCAAGAAAGAGACATGACCTTGCTGAAGGATGCTCATTCTGTCTTGATGCTTTCAGACCCCAGTCTCCCAGCTTACAAGATGAAATCATATAAAGGTGTGGGCACTAGGACAGATAGAGGTAAAAAATTGAAGGGAAGAAGGCAAGAGCTGGATGGGTAGGAAGGAGAAAGGGAGTTTTGGCAAACAGAATAGGAAAAACAACCATTACTTTTTACAACCCTGAAAGCAACAGCTGACTGCTCTGCTGACACATACAAAGCAAACTTTTTAAAAAAATCTGTTGTGAACACATGTTATTAAAGGCAGAAGTAAATACTCAGAATTGTTCTACTTGTTGCTATTTGGAAGCATAAATTAAAATGTTTTACTGTGGAAAGTATAGCAGTGACAAATCTGTGGTGAGCAGGTAATGAATGTTACTTGCAAGGTCCTCTAACATTGCTTACTACCAAAGGAAATTAAACAGTTTAAAACAGAGACCAGTTAAGAGTGCTTTGGTCTGAGTTATTTGCCCATTGTTGTTGTCCATAACACCGTGTTTGTGTTCTCAGATCTTGTTTCTGTATACTGGTAGTCAGAACTGGAAGAACCGTTCTTGAGCTCTGTTTTCATTTATCATAGAAATAATTCCTCTGAACACTTTTATCCCCTCATTTCCCCTATTCTGTAAAACTCCTCCAGAACTTCCATTTCCTCTGTATTGGTGAGGAATCTTCTTTCAATTTTCAGTTTTCACCTTTCTGTGTGGTAACCTTTCTCCTGAAATGTTTTTTCCTTTCGTGATGTCTGTCACCTCCGAACAGGTGAACAGAATATGGCTGCTGCTTGACCTGAGTTTTAGAAGATCAAAAAAGGTTTTGTAGTTCCCTCTGAACTTATGTTTTTGAAAGAGGATGACTGAAACTGTGTATAGTGTTGCAAAGAATGTCACAGCAGTGCATCATACGATCTTAATGTTTGTTGATCTTTACTAGAAATTACTGCCTGACACAATTGTGTGATTGCACCCAACTTCTTAGCCGCAGTTATTGTCACTTTAGGAACCTTTGGCCTATTCTTGTCCTTGGTAATTTCCAGCTAATGACTTTCTACTGTATAGTACAGGTGGTTTATAGTACATGCACATTATAGTACATCCACAGACATGTATAGCACATACACATAGTACATGTATTTATAGTACATGCACATTCCAGTGCATGATTTTTTCATTAGTCTGTGACTTTGTCCTTTTTGTTGTTGAATATCATCCTGTTTCTGTTACTCCAATCGTCACAGTAGTTTTCTATATGCCACCATCAAATGCCTTACTAAAGTCCAGATTGGTAAAACTAGCTGATCATTGTAGTTTCTTTGCCTCTAGATAAGAATACATGTTTTCAGTGGAGAAGGTTGAATCAGTCTAGCATAGTCTGACTTGTGATACACCCATCTTTATCCTATTTTATTTTATTACCATGTTTCTAAATGTTCTGAAAAATTTATTGTATGGCCTTGCATATGCTGTTAACAAGTGGACTGTTAAACTTCTACTGGTAGGGAAGTATATGAAGAAAAGGGGAGAGAAGGAGAAAAAAGCAAGCAGGCTGGCTTCAGAGTCATAGGACTTTTTAGCCAAGTTGGTGTGGAGTTGTATGCGTACACTGTGCTTGAAAGCATGAAATGCCAATATTTGTTAAGCTGTGATGTGCTTTTTTTTCCGCCTATGGAACTTGTTCTGTAGAAGTTTCTCTTATGAGAAAGCACCTAGTCCTTTCTGCTGTTATTATGCAAAGTATCTCTCAGCTTAAATGCATTTTTCAGAGTGAATTCTCCTCTATATCAACATGCTTTCTATGTTTGATTATTTGTTTCCTTACCAGTCTTTACAAACTTGGAGGAACTAAATGCAGAGTACAGTGTTCGTAGGCAACTTTGCCTCAGCTGTTTCCACTTTGCCAAGTTAGACCTCTCCAGCTGTGTGCTCATTTGTCTCTGTCTCTTTGTCAGAAATTGCAAGTGGGAGCTACAAGTAGATGCTTCTCAATTAGAATCTTTAACACTGTAATACTAAGGTCTAGTATAGAACATTATTGTGTGTTGGTTCACAGCAGTCTCTTTAAAAGCAGCAGCCTTGCAGGCCA